AGAGATTAGAGGCCGTCACTGAGTTTGAGCCAGAGATAAGGCACACTGGGTAATGCTTATCTGTAGAAGTTGCTGTCAGAATGTCATGAGGAACTCAAATCTTATTACTCTTGAAGCAGGTTTACTTAGAACAGATGATATTGCTTGAAAAGAGGAAAGCAAAAGGCATAAATAAAGTCTAGTAAACTAAAGTCCATTCTGCATTTAAAAAAGAGATATAATAGTGCTGGAGGAAAGATTTTGTTGAAAGAAATGATCAGTACAGTTAACCTCTTTTTTCCCCCTGGTATTTGTATACTCTTACTTATTGAAATGGTTGTCCAAGGAAACAGTTAGGAAAACTTATCTTCCTTATTGGCATATGATATTTTTAATGGAAAACCAGACCTTGTATTTGTTTGCCTTGTTCTTACACTCTTCCCTAGACTGTGGCTGCTTTTAGAGACATGAATATTGAGGGCATTCTCCTGGGATGTGGGACATGTGGGTTCACTACCTACTAGGTTGGGTAGAGCCTAGAAACCAAGTTTCTCACTTTCTGGCCATATGCGTTAGTCATTAGTTTATGATATAGCAGTGAGTGCTGTGGCTACTGGTCCATTAGTAGCCCACACTTACGCAGCATCCCAAGTGGATGGAGGCATCTAATGTTTCTTAATGCTTCCATATCTTTTAAGGGTAGGAAGTAACTACCTAACATGAGGGGACGTGATTGCCTACCGTGAGCAAGTACTCTATCAGTATGTTCGAAGAATTGGTTCTCTTTTAGGTTTTTAGAGGTATTTGCCTCTCTATTAACTGCATGGGGAATGTAGACGGTAGTGTTAGGATGACCTGGAGCATTCTGTCTGCTCCAAGTATACAAAATATGGGTGAGTTAGTACTTACCTAGTCCACCTAATTTAGGTGATTAAAATTTTATACTGATAACACAAAAGTCTATTAAAACGTCCAACAGTCTTTTCAGGAAATGCTTAAACATCCTGAAAGTCAGAAGGGCACAGAGGAGGTGTGTGTGCAGGGCACTTAATGAGGATCTGTGTCTCACATTCAGGAAATGGGAGGCCTGAAAGAGGTAGCCATGCATATAGAGCAGTTCAGAATCTATTTTCTTTTAACTGAGTTGTTCTAAATATAGAAGAATTTGCTTCTATTTTAAAAATACTGAAGTATGGGAACACTGGTCTGGTGTCTAATGTCTGTTTTATCATCTTTATACTGAACCCACTGATTGAACCATGTCTCCTGTAGTGTAATGACAAGCTCCCGTCTCACTAGGCTACTACTGTGCAATTTGGGAGATGCAGTCCTGCTGGACAACCTGGCATTTGTGGGAGAGGGAGTGACAGGAATAACAGAAGTTACAATGTTCTGGTAACATTTAGGTTGAAAACTTGGATGATCAGTTCTGATCAACTGGCAGAATCTTTAGTACAGAACTGAAAGCACTATTAAAAACCAGTAGTAAAAAAAAAGCCGTTTTTAGATCCAGCCATTTCAGTGAGCAACAGAGCTATTACAGTCTGTTTATTTACAGAGTTGGCTCATGTCCCATCTGACACAAAAAGCTTCAATAGCCTTACATAATCCCAAATGGCCTCTTCTCAAAATCTCCATTTCCCACTTTAAATCACTCTGAAGGACCCACAGGATCTCCATCTTTCTCCCTTGTCTACAGCACTGCTTCCTCAACTTAATGTCCTTAAGTCTTTCACACATGTTATTGGGTAGCCCGCTGCTTATTACTGATTTTTCCCATATACTCTACTTGCCTTTTTCCTGATGTTTTTGCTAGTCTGCAGGCTAAAACTTTTTTTAGGGAAACTAGATTTAGTAATTTGCTAACCAGCTAGGTTTTTTTGGATAGTATACTCTCTGTGATTTAGTTTTGTTGTTCTTATAATTGTTGTTTCAGAGCCTTTATGTTAGTACTGCATATATTTCATAAATAATATCTTCAGGAACATGCTCTTTGAGTGGAACAAGAATTAATTTAATCCTTTTGTTAAAGGAATAGCTCATACATCACTCTTTGAACTTTCTTGTTTCTATTCAGGTGTTTCATTTTATAGATACTTATATAACAGTGAGAATCTGTTAAAAATATGTTGAGCATGTTGACTCTGTCTTTTGCTTTCTAGGTTCTTTCTAGGCTTTCATGCCTCAGATTTCTTTGATTCTTATTGTAAATTCTTTCCTCTGTCACAAAGGTGTATTGTACTTTTTTTCCCCCCTCAGCTTCTAATCAGGTGAATTGAAATGAGATCAGATATTAATGTAATATCCAAGAAAAAGAAAATAAATGGAAAGTTAGCGAATTTCATTTTTACCTGAAGTTTTTAACTTTGTTATTTAATTCAAAGATATTTTCATGTGCAACCTCTCTTGCTTCCTTGTCCCCAGTATATGATAGAACAATCCTTAATTACAGGTTCTGTAATACTTTTTTCCTAGGATGGATGGGTGTTCATCTATTACTACATATTCCATGTCTTGTTTTCTTTTTGTTATTCAGTATATGGTCCCTCATTTACTACTCATTATTCAGTATCAGACCAGAAAGCATATATTTTTTCATAGAAACATAAAATCATTAAGGTTGGAAAAGACCTCTAAGATCATCAAGTCCAACTGTCAACCCAACACC